GATGATTATAAGCACCCACTGTTGGTTTAACATAGCACTCGAGGTCGTGCTTTTCTGTTGAACTCAAATACTTGTGAGCAGCAGTCAGACCAACCATCAAGCGAATTTAGACTTCTCAATGGAGCTGAGCTGAGGTTCTTATTCAGTCATCTATGACCTTAGTCGGTATGGAGCTTCCTTTTCTGACACCTATCAACATACCACCTTGCGTGTTTTTGAAGACCCATGCCAATCATCACCTTAAGACTAGCGAGCATCAAGAACGTCGGCATAAACAATACAAACATACAAAAGAGTCTCCACCACAGACACGGACCGTAAGGGAGATGAGCAGAATAAACTGGACTCAGTACTCGTATTACCTGAATACAGCACAAGCTTCATTTCAAATCAAAGTCGCAAAAAAATTATCAATGCAAATATCAAACTTCAGTATTAAGCGTACCTTTCTAGTAAAGATAAGAAAATTCACACTTTTTGAGCTACTAAGAACATGCATGACTGTGCTCAAAAAGTTATTTTTCCAGAAAGTAAGTTGAAACTTTCTTCTGTAAGGATACAGAGACTTTGAAATTGTTTAGCAAAATAAGTTTGATTTGTTAAGCACAGCTAAAAAAGCTCTTAAGGAGCTTCTACAATATCCACAATCAAGCTTGGGGCAACTGCTTTAAAATAAAACTAGCAATATTTACAAGTTGTGCTTACCACGCAAGCTGGTGCTAACGGAACAAATGTGAGGTTTTTCTGCTCATTATCTGTTTGATTCAGTGTCTGGTCAAAAAAAAATTATAAATGAGATTTTTGCAATTTCTTAGTACTTCAGTAAAGTACTAAAGGAAGCAAGTTAATCTGCACAGGACTAAGAGTCTTGCTATGAGCAATTTGCAGACATACCTGTTTGCAGAGATCTTCTAGAAATTCAGAGAACGCAATAGGCTTAATGTCGTTGAACTTTGCAATGAAAGAGTGTTTTATTACATCAATCATCACTTCACACAAGTAAACAACTAGTGCATTCTGCAAGATTTGAACAAAAGAACATTATGAGGTCGTTGAATTCAAATTACTTTGTACAAGTAAATATGTAATGTATTTTCCGTTCATTACGTACAAAAAGAAAACTTTCAAACCAAGGACCCTCAGCTTCAAGGATATTTTGAGCTAAAACAGACAAGATGAATGCCAAAATATGGAACCGCTCGACTGAATCTGTTCATGGCAATTTGAGTAAAGAATCAATGTCAGATACACCGGAACTCATACCAAAAAAGGGACTAATCCCGTGTGTAAATGAGAGAGCACAAAGCACTAATTTGTATAAGCAAAGGAACATGAAAATTGCTTACCTATGACAAGAATTGTGCAATAACAGTTAGTGTAGTACCAAATGCCACTAAAGTAAGACGCCATTACTCGAGCCAAGTACACAAGAAAGTAAAGTGAGAAAGGAATTTCAGAGTTGAGTTTAGAAGCTACTCGAGTTTAGATAAAATTCATAGTGGGAAGGATTTTAGGATATAACAGTATGGATTCAGAGCCTTAACAATTAAGCTGATTCACTTTTTAAGGCTGTACCTGATAGGTAATGACAGAAGGATCTATTCCTCATTCAGCCAATTTCTAATTCCACTTCATTATATGAATTTAATAACAAAATCAAATCTAGGCATTCAAAAGTTTGCATGAAATATGGCACAGACAAAAGTACTCAATTAAGCACAAAAAGATCAACTGTAGCGCCAAATTAACCATCCAATCTATTAAATGAGAAAACAAAGCAAATAATGGCCAAGGCATTGGGACATTATAAAGAATTTTCAGAAGAGGTATATAACTCACCAAGATATACCAAACTGTGAACGTTGGCCTTGCTATAACGTTTAAACACGTTGCTTTTTATCTCGGCAAAATTATTAGAAACTAGCATAGCAAAGAGTGCATTATTATGTGCAACGATACAGGTCGACAAAGTAATGGCCTGAGCTAACAAGACAAATGAATGAACAAGTGCTCACAGTTAAGGAACTACAATGGTTCAAAAATAAATAATTTTTTATACAGACAAAGCTAGGAATTGCATGATAAGGATATTTGAAGTAGCCACTGCTAACAATTCATCTGAAAAAAATCGCCAAAGCCAGAATTGCATGTTCTCCGGCGAACTAGTTGCGAGTCCAGCTGCTGAATTAAATAGAGCTTGCATCACATCACCACCAAAACTTTGAAACAGCTTATCAAATATCTGTAACCCAAAGGGCATAAATTAGCTTATATACCTAAAACGATGTTACAAGCGCAGAAATTTATAGATCTGAGGACATGTTAAAGAGAACAAAAAGTTAAAAACTAAAAGTATATTAGAGTATCACACTCACATAGTCGAACACATAATGTATGACCAGCCATCAGTCTACTAAGTAAAAATACAACTGAAAAACAACAGAGAAATTTTCTTGAACTCTATGTGAGTGCTGACATGGGAGAAGACGAAAATTGTTGCTCTCAAGTAACTTAACATGTGATTAATGTTTCTTTTAGGATTTCCCATATTTTTTGCAGTTGCACCTTTCAAATGCATAATCATTTTTCAACTATATTAACCATCCAGATATTTTCTTTATCTTTTTCTCCATTACCCAAAAATTTCAAAAGAAAATTGTTCTCCAATAATTTATAGAAGATTTCAAAGCTTTGAAGACTAATTATAAACATGAATTGAACTATAAAAAAGTTTATTTATTACTAAATGTAATCAAGAGAAGAATTAATGATGAAGATAAATCAGGCTATTTGATTACTTGACTTATAACATATATTTGCTTATATTAACAAATAGCACGCTAAAAGGAGATCAAGAAAAAGAAAAAAGTCCATAATAATAATATTAAAAGGGGTAGTCCTTAAATATTTTCCCAAATGTATTCAATTTTATCTCTCTTTAGTAATCCCTCTCCTTTCTCCCTCTATATGCGTGGGCTTATGATGAGTCAATGTGCATTTATAATGTAATGTATGTTCAAAGGTTTTGCACAAAGAGAAAAAATTAACTCTTATATCCCAATGTTTTTTCGAAATCTCAAATCCTAGTTTTAAATTCAGAATAACAAAGGAAATAGTTAAAACAATATTTATTTATTATGATAATTACCTCCTTTCTTTTTATGTATGTATCGGTATATTTTCTGTAACTAATTCATTCCAGCACTTTAATAACATATATTTTTGTAAAAATAAAATAAAAATTAGTGTAAAAGTACTCCTTTTTGTCATTGTATAATTAATGATTTTTCATTAATAAGGTAGTTGACAAAAGTTATATTTTCATCATATTTGCAGATTGGGTTTTTTTATTTTGTTCCAGTCTATGGTTGGTTTAACTCAATAGAGTTAGCAAATTAGCTAGTGAGATGGGATTTCAACAGACACGGACAGGGGCGGAGGCACACCTGGGCAAGGGCAATCAGTGGACCACACAAAAATTTCTGGTTTCCATCTTTTTTTTTTTTTTTTTTTTTTTTTTTAACCAAAAAAGGGACTAATCCCGTGTGTAAATGAGAGAGCACAAAGCACTAATTTGTATAAGCAAAGGAACATGAAAATTGCTTACCTATGACAAGAATTGTGCAATAACAGTTAGTGTAGTACCAAATGCCACTAAAGTAAGACGCCATTACTCGAGCCAAGCACACAAGAAAGTAAAGTGAGAAAGGAATTTCAGAGTTGAGTTTAGAAGCTACTCGAGTTTAGATAAAATTCATAGTGGGAAGGATTTTAGGATATAACAGTATGGATTCAGAGCCTTAACAATTAAGCTGATTCACTTTTTAAGGCTGTACCTGATAGGTAATGACAGAAGGATCTATTCCTCATTCAGCCAATTTCTAATTCCACTTCATTATATGAATTTAATAACAAAATCAAATCTAGGCATTCAAAAGTTTGCATGAAATATGGCACAGACAAAAGTACTCAATTAAGCACAAAAAGATCAACTGTAGCGCCAAATTAACCATCCAATCTATTAAATGAGAAAACAAAGCAAATAATGGCCAAGGCATTGGGACATTATAAAGAATTTTCAGAAGAGGTATATAACTCACCAAGATATACCAAACTGTGAACGTTGGCCTTGCTATAACGTTTAAACACGTTGCTTTTTATCTCGGCAAAATTATTAGAAACTAGCATAGCAAAGAGTGCATTATTATGTGCAACGATACAGGTCGACAAAGTAATGGCCTGAGCTAACAAGACAAATGAATGAACAAGTGCTCACAGTTAAGGAACTACAATGGTTCAAAAATAAATAATTTTTTATACAGACAAAGCTAGGAATTGCATGATAAGGATATTTGAAGTAGCCACTGCTAACACTTCATCTGAAAAAAATCGCCAAAGCCAGAATTGCATGTTCTCCGGCGAACTAGTTGCGAGTCCAGCTGCTGAATTAAATAGAGCTTGCATCACATCACCACCAAAACTTTGAAACAGCTTATCAAATATCTGTAACCCAAAGGGCATAAATTAGCTTATATACCTAAAACCATGTTACAAGCGCAGAAATTTATAGATCTGAGGACATGTTAAAGAGAACAAAAAGTTAAAAACTAAAAGTATATTAGAGAATCACACTCACATAGTCGAACACATAATGTATGACCAGCCATCAGTCTACTAAGTAAAAATACAACTGAAAAACAACAGAGAAATTTTCTTGAACTCTATGTGAGTGCTGACATGGGAGAAGACGAAAATTGTTGCTCTCAAGTAACTTAACATGTGATTAATGTTTCTTTTAGGATTTCCCATATTTTTAGCAGTTGCACCTTTCAAATGCATAATCATTTTTCAACTATATTAACCATCCAGATATTTTCTTTATCTTTTTCTCCATTACCCAAAAATTTCAAAAGAAAATTGTTCTCCAATAATTTATAGAAGATTTCAAAGCTTTGAAGACTAATTATAAACATGAATTGAACTATAAAAAAGTTTATTTATTACTAAATGTAATCAAGAGAAGAATTAATGATGAAGATAAATCAGGCTATTTGATTACTTGACTTATAACATATATTTGCTTATATTAACAAATAGCACGCTAAAAGGAGATCAAGAAAAAGAAAAAAGTCCATAATAATAATATTAAAAGGGGTAAAAAAGAATATTAGTCTTCCGTAGAGCTGGAAGTGTTTTGGATCAAGTTTCTGTGGTCCAGATTGTATGCATATGAGGGGGGAGGGAATTAGGAAAGAAGAAATGTAAATAAAATCCCAAGGAAAAGATCAAGAAGCTTATGGTTCAGATGGTCAGTACATCCAAATGGATAAATCTAAGTGCAGACTTACAAGCATAATGTATAATGCACTTTTCCCTTAATTTTTATTTCAATGAAAACTATTCAAAATTGTCTTTTTGTTAATAGAAAAGTACACATCACAAAACCTAAGTAAAATAAATTTTATGATGAGAAGTCCCTGATACAATGGCACATTGAACTTTTAGTAAGCTTTCTCGTGGGTCTAGATTACCTACCTCCAACACGTTGTACACCACATACAGTTTAATTGTTCCTTGACCACGGATCATATGATAAATTAAGCTAATATCTGAACCAGAAAATTATATGAAAAATATGTTAGGAGGAAAATTAAAGCAAATAATGTCATATAATTGTTTATTGAAGGAAAGCATACGAACTCTTTGAAAAGAGCCAAATCCCCTTACTAAACCTGTTTGTTGTAATAGAGCAACTCCAGTAACCAGGACAACTAAGCAGCCAAGATCAGAGAGCTCTGCTGATGAAAGCTTCTTGAACTGCCTGCCAAAGAAGTGGTCAAACTACTTTGTATTATGCAAGATACCTTAAGAAATAACTTATCAAAACACATTTCTCCAATATACTGCATGTAATATGTCCCTCAACTATGGCCAAGGGTTTCAGCCATCAAGCCCTGACATGGTCCCTGCAATATTCGGTCTGTGTTGCACCTTTATACATACTGTCCAACGAGGTTGGGCCCCAATTTCGTGTCCCCAGAGGTTCAAACACAAGATCTCCTCAAAAGGCAATTAATTTGAATGCTGGTAACATATAAAGGTGCGATATGTACTGCGCCTTTATCTATAAAGGAAAAATAATCCATCACTACAGTCCTTAAGGTTCAACTAGAAGTACTGCTCGTGCAGATAAAGTTTAGATCTACCTGGGAGCTTCAGTTGACTTTTCAAATTTTATGAGGCTTTAACTAAGAACTCTTATTTGAGTTTTACCATCTAAAATGTCCAGCACGCAATGTGGTCTTGGCACATGATGGATTATTTTCTCACAGCACCCCTAGGGCAGAATAGTTGATAAACCATATACAGGCACATCCAGAAATCAGTTTCATGACATAGATGTATGTTTCTTACTCTATCTTTGTGAAAATAACTTAAAACCCCTGTTCCCCTATCTGGTAAAAAAATTTGGGATAAAGAATCTAAATAAATTGTGTAAATAGCTCAATGAACAATAAACACAAAACTAGACCATGGCAACCTAGCACTAGGATTACAATGCTCATATAAAGATATCAGGTACAGCATAATCTACCGTCTTCACTTCAATCTCCCTCGTGTCACTCAGGAGATTTAGGGTGAATAACTAGTGTGAAAGGTGTGAATTAACTGGGAAGTTAAGCTTATTCTCACTAATAAATTTATACAGTTCCATGGATTTCCTAATTTCAGGAAATTGATATTAAATCCAATCTTCTGCCAAACCTTTCAAGTCCATCAATTCAAAGTTTAGGGTGAAACATACTTAACATAAGTAAACCACTATTGAATTGACTATGTTCTGTTTTTCCACACCAAAATGATAAGAAGCAGATAGAACTCACCTGGTTCTCAGAAGCTTCCAAAAATATGTGATTATCCTTGCAGGCATGATGGTCAACAGTGACAGAAATGAATCCAAACAGACAAAGAATCCAACGTTTATCAGCTGCAAGAAGCATGTTCATCTTTCACAGTCCAATGATGAAAATACTCCAAAATTAACATAGTAATTGTAATCATATCTAGTATTCCCCATAACGAAGAGCTACAGCTTAATACCGGCCCTCGGGAGAGAATGACAAAAAATCAAGAGAAGGGCCTTGCCCAGAAAAGCTGCCTCCTAAGCATGAATAATGAGGTATAATTTTGTCTTATTCAATAACATTAATGCGGCTACCGGAAAGGCGACATATCAACACTGAAAGAACATAAAACGGAAGTAGTGTGCAAGGTAGTTCGAGAAAGAGATTCAATCAACTGACTAAATGTATGTTGTGAGAATGATATATAGAGTTGTCTCAAGTTTTATACTATACAAGTTTAAGATAAGATAGATTCTTTACCAGTTCACATCGCCATGGCAAGCGGAATATAGTATCATAGACTCGTTCTCGCTCTTTATCATTGCCAGGAGTGGTGGTGCTCCTTAAGGAATTGCCCGCATTCATTTCTTCCATGAAGTACTTCACTGGGGACTTCTCCACAGGAAACGAGTCTGTCAAAAGATATTGACAACACAACTAAGAGCAGGAAACAAAACAATGATAGGAAAAGGGAAAATAGCTCTCTTAGTACACCTAATGCTCCATTAGTCAATGAAACATTTGGAATATGTGCTGTTATAATCACGTTTATGCATAAGGAACTTGTTTCCAGAAGACGCCAAAAAGTTTTTTTTTTTATTTATTTAAAAAAGGTTGTTCATCAGACGTCACTATAAATGCAAAAAAGTCATTCATCTGCCATCTAGCACTTCAATGTTGCCAACAGAACCTAGTAGGACTGGGTTTTAATGGTACTCAATCTAGAAAGACAAAGTGAAAAGGGAGGAAAAGGCTGGATGGAAAATAATCAAAATTTTCCATAGGGAGACACAAGATCTAGACTATAAGGACATCGGTTAAAATGACAGTTCTTTTAAGGGTAGGAACCGGGGTACAGTCATAATCCTATTCCCTTTACAATATACAGTAGCAAAAATTATAGCACCAAAGGATAGGAGGACATCTAACAGATAAGAATGTGTCAGAGATTCAACTCTCATTGCTGCCAACCATTAAATTATACAATAGAAAAGTTTTTAAAAGAAAAGAAAGGAAAAATTGCACGTCAGTTTCATGGGTAGAAAAACAATTAAGCGCTGTCCAAAAAGCAAGATGAGTTTTGTTCAACAAATTTTCAAAATAACAAATAAACATAAGTGCAGCTGAATAAAAACGACAAGTAGCATAATTCTTGCTTCCCTGGAAGTGGTCTCACGCTTGTTGCTCAGGGAGAAGAACTACCTACAAAGGATTTGTAATGTTTAGCCTTATGGGTTGTATCATGGTGCTAATTTATCAATAACACATGATCCATCCTTGCTTAACGAGCATGATTTGTGGATGCATGTCCTTTTAAGTAAAGAAATTTAATCTTCCATAAAAATGTCAAGTAATGTTTCCAACATTTACCAAGATAGCTGCTCTCAAATTATTCAGAACCACATTAGTCATTAAGCTACTTGAAAATTTTAAAGCAATTTCATTAGGTTCATTGTAGGTATTTTTTCCTCAATTTTCGTACACTTTTCCTTTTTTGTGACTTTTATAATTATAATGATTTGAGTGGTTAACAAAGACATTTTGGGCAACCTCTCATCAACAACAAAGCCTTATCCTCATAGATTTAGAATAGGCTGTGTCCTTCTGTCAGTCTATCTAGTCCATCTCTACATCTATTAGAAAATCCGACACAATCATATCATTGGCATCCAAAACATGCCATACTAATTTGGGTTTTATCTTACATTTTCTACTAGGATTGCATCTCTTAAGAACAAGAACATCTTTAGTTCTACACACGAAATGTTCCGACTTCCTAAGTCACTCTCCCCTTAATTAAACCTCAATTGGTGTCTGTTAGTGGTGGCGTGCATTATCATTTCTTATCTTATACTTTCGTATATCCACACATCCACCATAACATCTTCATTTCTGTTGTAACATCTCATTGACATTTTGTCCCTTTAGTATCCTGCTTTGTTTGCAAAACTCAACTGTAACTTTATTTTCATATGACATAGAAAACATGCAACACTCTCCAATATCCAACTCTCTCTATCCTATGCATTATATTATCCTCAAGTCCTCCCTCCTTAATTATCTGACATAATTACCTAAAAAAATCACTTCGCAAAAAATTGATCCTCTACAATGACTTGAGAATCATATGTATTCCAACTGCAAAAAGTATAAATCTTTAGACTCCTATGAGCTGCACACCTAGTCTAGTATTGATTGTATTTAAAAACAATAGTTAGACTTTTTATAGCACTTTGCACTGTGGCACTTTTTAAAAGCATTAACCATCCCTGCATGAAAATTAGACAGAAATAGAGAAATTCACTTATTTAAGTGTGAGTATCCACTTACAATTTTGATCTTCAGACATCAATTTCTTCCAATCCAAAGATTCTTCCTTCTCCAATTTCTTCCCATTCGTCTCTGTTCGTTTATTCAAATTACTTTCCTTAAGAACACTCTGATTCTCATCTACTTCTTCCTTCGCCTTATTATCACTATTAACATTACGACTTTCCTCGATTCTTAATGACATTGGCATTTCATCATCCCCTCCATTCACCACACTACTCACATTCCTCTGCCTCAACTCTCCAAACAGAGGCGGGCCCACAAGCGGCGTTCCAGTAGCAGTACTCACTGCACTATCATTCTCACTTTTCTCCGCTACACTCTCGATGGCGCTCTCCTTCTGCACCACAGTATAACTAAATTCTCTACTCCCATATTCAACGCCAAGGATATTATAATTTATTTTCCGGTTTGTTTCGGAGTTCTCGGAAAAAGGAGAAGAGGCTGAAATCGTTCCTCTTTTGTTTTTTCTCTTCTTTTTCTTGCGGTTATTGTGAGTGGGTGATGATGACTCATCATTTTGGAGGGAAGGTGGATCGGAGTTGGAGCGGGAAAGAGTGGAGGTGGTGGTGGGCGAGACGTCGCCGTTCTCCATGACGGAGAGTATTTTGAAGGAGAGATTGCGTCCTTCGGATCTCGACCCCATGGATGACGGTGTTCAGCGGAGGGGCGGGGCGGAGGCGGAGGCCTTGTTTCGGTGGAATTGTGCTACGGGAAAGTTAAGTTGGGGCCTGTAACACGAAACGGCGAGGGAGGAAGATCACGTGTCTTCAACCAATAGAAAAGTGCCACGTTGTTTCCCGGTCATTGTTACTTGCTTTTATTGCATTGGATGAACATTTTTTTTTATTACATAAAAAAAATAAATGAAGATCCGGGCACATAAAACCTTGCTATGCCCTGTTTGTCTATCATTATTATGAGAAAATAGAATTTTGAATAGTGATTTTTAAAAGAGTGTGTAGTTAAAAATAAAAATAAAAATTGAAATTTACATGCAGAATATTTTGTGTAAAGGTATAATTGAAAATTAGTATGTCAAAAATAATTTTGAAAATAATGATTGTCAAACAAGGGCTAAATTTTGATAAATCGAAAAACTCAATTAATTTCTTGTTTAAAAATAATTATTTAAAAATCACTTTTATCCACGCTTATTTTTAACCCACGTTCTTCAAAACAATATTACTCATATTTCTCATTAATTTTTCGACTTTTAATTCTTTGAAGAAATCACCTTAAAAAAAATCAAATAAACACTATCACTCAAACTCTATATAATAAAATGATTAACCTTGCTAAAATAATTTTAAATAAAATTTTTTAAAGCTCAAATATATAAAATAATAACGGTTTAAACACATTTAAAATATAAATATATATTGAGAATTTGTTTAACTTATTTTTCGATTGAGCTCTTTTTCAGATATGCATATTTGCTATAATTTTGTTCTCGTACCAAACTTTTCTCTCATCCCACGTTAGGGGTGAACACGATACTGTTTGAGCGATTTATGACAATTTTTTGAACCAAACATTTAGAATAGTTGGAATTTTTTTTCAAACAAACCTACACTACTTCAATTTCTAAACAAAATCAAATCAAACCACGTTTCTTGGTTTGGTTCGATTTGAAATCACGGTTTAACCAAAAAAATTACATATCGAGTAAGTTAAATCATGAGTATTAGTCTAAAATTTCACGTTAAACATAAAATATTATCATTAGAAATATTATAAATAAAATTGCTATTATTGTAATCATTATAATGCAACAACATAATAAAAACATTTTTACATATTAGTCGTTACTAATTGATGCAACATCTACAATTGTAATACGCAATTCACTCTCTCTACAAATATAAGAATATAGTACATAAATTCATTAATTATAGCTAAACGATGTAAAATAACTAATAAAAGAAAATGAATATAAAGATTATTATAATAATACGTTTTATAACTTTTTGTGAATTATTCAATTATTCTCCCTCATCTGAATGTGGACGAATCACTGTAGGGTTTAGTTTTTATTAGAATGTGTTTAGTTTTAATTGGTTTGTTTAGAATTTGAATTAATTCATTTTCAATTTTATTTTTTTTTTGTAAACCGTTTGACGATTTAAAAAAGTTTGCAAAGATTGAAACATAAATCAATTCACTTTGAAGCAATTTGGTTTTGTTCAAATTAAAACATTGACAAATCTATATGGACCCAAACCAACAATTTTAAAAAAGAAATTTCAGTTCGATTTTGTGATTTGACAGTTTCACTGTTCAATACTAGTTAGTATATTTTTAAATTTTGTGGAAGGTAACTATTTAAGGTAACCATCTATCTACAATATATTAAAAGTATGGATTGAATATAAACTTTTAAATACCAGATTTATCCTTATATATGTAGATATATATCAATTCTACCCTTATATATTTAATATTGTAACATTTAATGTAATTTAATTTCGTTTAATATCCATTTAAGTTTAATGCTTATTGTTCTATATTGGAGTACTTAAATAAGTTAAATACCGGTGCTTAGAAGATCATTTATGTATATGAACGTTGCATTAAAATAATGGCAAATTAATTACAATTTAAATTAGTAATATGATTACTTAGGAAAGTCATCTACACTCTTTGTGATTACTGTAAATGAGATGACCGAGTTGAAAAACCAGAAATTACTAAGAGTTCCACGGGAACATAAAACAGCTATTGGGTGGTCTATAGCAGACATTAAAGGGATTAGCCCATCAATATGGAGGCTATTACTGCCATGAGGGACATTATGAAGGACGTCTTTATTGAATTCTGCATTGTAGTTTTACTTTGTCAAATGGTGATTTTGTTGTTGCAAATCATGGTTGGTGTGGTGGTGGGCACCGTTGTTGTAGCAACCGCTGTACTATTTGAGTAAAATCTGAAGTTTTTAGGTGTCGGAGTTTTTTGGGGTAGTTGGTGGTGGTTCGCAAATGCTGACAGTGTTTGTAGTTGGTGCTAGTGCTGGAGGTGGTGGTGGTGGTGCTGGTGAGGTGGTCTTGATGATGTTGGTTGTGGTCGTGGTGGTAACTGATAATTTTGAATTTGATTTTTTGTAGGGGTGGTGGTGTGATGTTGGCTGCGGTGCTAAGGTGGTAGTAATGTTCGTGGTGCTGGTGTAGTGGTAGTGGTGGTGGTGTGGTGGTTGTGGTTAAGATGACATGAGGTGGGGTATGACCAATAAATTGATTAAGTTGTGATCAATAAGTAATATGTAACCAATAAATAATATGTGATCGATAACTTGTGATCAGTAAACATTATGTTACATAAAAATTTGAGTCTTGACTTATAAAATTTATGATTTGTTATTGATAAATAAATTGAGACCTATAAATTTTTTGATTTGTGACTAATAAATAAAAATGTGACCTACAAAATTTTTTATTTGTGATCGTGGAATAATTTGTGATTTATAATTTTTTTTACTCATGATCAAAAAATAATTTGTGATCAATTAATTCGATAATTTGTGACCAAATAGTATAGAATTATGATCTTGATATATTTTTTATAAAATATGTTTTTAATTAATTATTTCATAAAAAAATTAATTATTATTTGATTTGTGACAATATCTAATAATCTCTTATATATGAAATTTTCCCCTTATTTTTCTATTAAATATTTTTTATTACCTTTCACCTTACAAAATAGTAACATATAACATTACTGATACTTAGTATATTTGTAAACTAAATTATAAATAAATAAAAATGAATGATGTATAAGTTGAGTATTTGTGAATTTTTGTGGGATAGAAAGTTGCTCTCAAGTGTTTCTAAACATGAGTCAAACACAAGTACATAGTACTATACAAGACAAAACAGTGGAACTTAAATTTATTAAAAATTTTATGCTATAAATTAGTGCATTTTTTTGTACGATTGTAATAAAACCAAATTGAAAAATAAAAGTAAATAAAGAATATATCTTGCTTGATCTCTATTATTTTAAAAATATATTTTTCTTTTTTTAATTGCACGTTCTTCAATAAAATAATATTACACTAAATTTAAAACTCTTCTTTATTTTTTAACTATAAGCTATCAATTAATCTATTATTCCAAAATGCATTCTTACAATGAAATGGGGCTCAAACAAGTTTATTTTCAGTTTCAAGTTTCAACGTAAAATTTGTTTTACTTAATGTTGTAGAGTTTCATCGTAGCAAAGTAGAAGAGAAATGCAATTTGTTTGTGAACTCACCTATTTCTTTTAACTTTCTTTTTTTCCTCTTTAAATATTGTAGATAAGATATTTCTAAACAGCACCGTAAGAATCCACAAATCACAAGAAATTAGTAGAAGAAAAAGGAGGAGGTTGTAGAGTCTTGAACAACCTTTACCAGTTTATGCACCAAATACTCAAAAACGCCTCCAAAATATGATGAAGCCAGTATATTGCAACGTTGTGCTTCCACGAAGATAACTTAAACACTGAAAGTTCAGGGAACGTTCTACAACCACTTGGAAATCCACGAAGAACGTTATGCTTCATCAAATTCAAGTTTTAGTTATTACCAAGTTTACGTTCCAATCAATTTACTATTCGACCTCATTGCGGAATTGATTAATCAAAGCAACATGTCACTTTAATTAATTGTCTAGGTGATTAAATATACAGTCCAGTTAATTCCTATGTTGAACTGCCGATTTGCTTAAAGTAAATAAAATAATACAAAACACAACTCACGATATGATGACGGAGAAACCCCAACGTGGGTAAAACTCCGGAATCAAGCCAGTAAGTTCGACTATATCAATTCAGCAAGTACAAGTTCTGTCAAACTCCGTACCCAGTGAAACCCGCTGTTCCAATCTCACGATCTACAGCTTTAGATACTACTAGTCTCCTGCTAGCTTCCCGATCTACCTCCAGCAGCTCATCTGCTGTCCAATACAGCCTCCTAGTTTTTAGCTGATTTGTATCACCAAGTGAAATTCCAAGAACCTCATGTTCTTGTCCAGTTCCTGCGTTTGTTGTTCACGGCCTTTTTATTTATAGTTGGGGCAATTTGGAGTTTTAGGCCGTGTCAAACTTTCCAAAAATTGAAAATACGATTTTTCATATAACACTGTCGCTCGAGCGAAAAGTGAGCGACAGTACTTCGTTCGAGCGAAATCCCGACGAAGAGCGAGCGACGTCCATTCTGCTTCTTCTCGCTTGAGTGGTGGCAGGGCGAACAGTTAGCGAACCTCTGGCGCCGTGTTCTTGATTTTGACCTAACACTCAAACCCTAGTCCCTACCATCTAGCTTTGCTAAATTTCACCCTAAGTCCCTGACTTTTATAACATTGTACAATTGAGTCCCTGACTTTTACAAATTTATAATTTAGTCCTTTGTCCACAGAATCGCCAATTACACATTTAGACCTAACAAACTCCCCCTTTGACATTATGTGACAAAACTCTACAAATGAAGTTAAGACAAAAATAAGTCAGGATTTGACAACCAAAAATTAAAATACCGAATAAACCCAATCATTGACTCTCGCATTCCTTCGTGTACATGTTTCCTGAAATCCACAAACTAATATACCCAATGTAAAAGCACGTAATACAGGAAATATTAAAATTAATTAAAGCTCTTAATCACAAATCAACATAATAATTTGAGACGTGATATTGATGCCAATCAAAACACCAACACTACTAAATATCAAAACTCAAACAGATAGATGTGATATGGAATGCAATGTAATGCTCTCCCTTACTGCAAGTTTTCATGTTTT